ATTTGGGGCTACTTCTTGCAAATGTATTAAAGAAATATTAAACTTCAACTCAGCCAACCAGAAGGTGCCAACTAACCTGGAGTTAGATGACAAAGACCTTCCCATGGCAGAGATCTAATAAGGCAACAACACTGGTAACCAATAAAAGGTTTTCTTTGCATTGCTTCCACATTTGCATTTTAGTGCATTTGGCCTAGGCAGGGATGACATCAGTCTCTGGCTTCAGAAATCTTAGGTCACTGCCCCCAGCAACTAGTTTGGCAATGGGAAAGCAACTAAAGTCAGGTAGAAGCAACTTAAAGTCTCCAGTGCATTTCTGCTGTAGGCAGTGCAGAAGGAGAGCAGCTCTCTGCTCTTGGGAACCCAATGGCCACCTTAATGAAGAGTCTGACTGAGAAAGGAGCCAACTGTGAGAAAAATGGAACCAAGAGGCAGCTTGGCAGCACCTTGTTAAAGCACCAGATCCTAGAGCTATAAGTGATGGCAAACCTTTTAGAGCTTTCGTGATAACCAATGGCTGGCTATGGCATGAATGCCATAGGTTCACCATCACTGAATTCTGGGCTGTCTTTGTATCTAGGCTGTTATAGAAGTGCTAGCTTTGGAAATGGCTTAAGTGTGCTCCCCCCAAAGTTGTACATATTGGAAGTTGGCCCCTAGGGTGGTGATGAGAAAGGGGAGCTTTAAGAGGAGGAACCCAATGGCAGGTCAGTGGGGCACTGCCTTGAAAGAGATTAAGGTAGCTCCTGTGTGAGCCCTGTTACTTCTCAAGAGGGCTGTTGAGAAAGAGCAGCCCCACCCCCATGTTGACCTCTGACTTCCTGTCTTGCCACAGATGTCTCCTGTGTGCGTGCCCTCCTGCCACTATGGTATCACCCGCCAAGAGCTTTCACCAGTGTTAAGCCAGTGCTTGCTCAGGCTATGTCCTCGAGCTTGCAGAATTGCAAGCTAAACAGACCCTTCTCCAACATGTTACTTAGCTCTGGCACTTTGCTAGAGCAGAAAATGAACTAATACAAAGAGCTAAGAAATGACTCTCTGCACTTGAGCTCATGTGGATCAGGGTTCTATCTTCTTCAGACTGGAGTCCTGATTTCTGCATTATTTCTACTGATTTATAACATGAGTGCTTGGAAACCAATCTCAGTGAAAATCTCCTATCACTTCCTTTTTCTCTAAGGTTAAATGGATTTAAATATTATATATTTGGGCTGGAGGAGACCTGTAGATTATCAGTATGCATTTCATCACTGTATAGAGGAAGCCAGTCATATCAAGGCCTGTTCATTCTTTCACTAAACACTGAGTGGTTGGCTGATCCCAGGCCAGGAACATTCTGGGTACCTACACTGTGGGCATGGCAGATTTAGTGTGTCACTGGGATGAGAAGCTGAGTTTCTTCACTCTGGCTCCTAAGTTACCCCACTATACCACATGGTACACCAGATGCCTCTTCTGGAACTAGGAGAGTTAAACAATTTGCTTGTGGTCTCATAGCCACTAGTAGAAGACAGAGCCAATCTCAGACCCACAAATTTACTCATTAAACCACACTAAGTATCTTTTTCTTTCTCTCTGTCCTTTTTATATTTTTATTTGGATATAGGGTCTTCCTAAGTTGTATCTGGACTCAAACTTGTCATTTTCGTGCCTCAGCCTCACAGGGTGCTCAGATTATATGTATGTGCCACTGTGCCTGGCAATACGTGGTATTTTAAAAGCCTTTAGGCACTTTAAGCTACCTAATTTGTGATGTTCTGGAGTGCCTAGCCAAGTGAACAGAAATTGGCTAGATGTAGTTTTATTTTCTGAAGGTTTACTTGTTGTAAGTCAACATGTTAGCTATACTGCTCATGATGGAAGGGAATTACTACAGCAGGGTTTTGGGCTGTGAGAAGCAGACTGGAATCGTAATGACTAACTGGCAGTGATGCTGGGATGCCTAGCTGTCCTTCTACTTCCAGAAAATTCTCTCTAGCATAAAGATGGAGAAGAGAGAAGCATGCCAGGCTGATGCAGCAGAGCTGATAATCCCCAGCTCCAGGGCACATCCAAGATACAGGGGTCCATGGCTGCCTCCTGACCATGGCCGCAAGGTGGTTTTTGGGAACATGACTCAGCAGGAATGACACAGGTACTAACTCTGGGCAAGGGGACCTTCAAGGAGAAGCAGCCACGACCTTGTGATGACAACAGATGCTGTGGAGAAAACAGTGCCATGGATGAATGGCATTCAGGGTTTTCCCCAGATGCCATACTGGGAGACACTGGCCTTGTGTGGAGGGAGAGATGGGTCAGAGCCTTGCAGGGAAGCCTGAGCTGGCCCTGGAGCCAGGCTGCTGTGTGGGCCTGAGAAGGCCCGAGATGGCCCTGTGCTCGGGCCAGCAGGTCCCTAGAGCATGTGGAGCTTGGTCTGGGTACCTCACTTCGCAGGCCCAGCTCTGCCTTGGTTCAGCTTCTCCTCCAGCATCATGAAGTCAAGGCTGTGATCACCGGGTGGGATGGGCAAGGCTTCTGTTTCTTCGGTGAGATATGAGGGATCCAGGCAGCAGAGTGTGGGAGAATGTTCAAGTCAGCACCCATGGTAGCACATGTAGGGGAGGTGTGCAGGGGAGGAGGTGGAGAAGGAGGATAACCCTGGCTGGAAGGAGCACAGACTACAGAGTGGGGACACCAGGTGGAGAGGGGACAGAGATAAGAGACCCAGGAAGTAGGGAGAGGAGAGGCCAGAATTGGGTGTGATGCCAACAGCAGGGCCCAGTCCATGTAGCAGCCTCCCCCTACCTGGACTCCGGCCTAGTTCAGCACTACTAGAAACACCCAGGATTCCAATGTTCCTGACAGCTCTACTCACAGACTCAAAGGAAGAAACAACTCAAGTGTTCATGCATGTAAGAATGGGTCTATCCAATGGACTATTATTCGGGCATGAAAAAGAATAAAGCTATGATATATACCTTAAAAATGTTATGCTAAGTACCAGAAGCCAGGTACAAAAGAACAAACACTGCATGAAACATCTAGAATAGGCAAATTGAAAGACAGAAAGTAAGCCAGGGGCTAGGAAGAAGAGAGGAAGGAAGGGAAGGGAATGCTCAGTGGGTCTGGAATCCCTGGCTGGGATGGTGCGAATGCTCTGGAGGTACATGACTGTACAAACACTGTCCGTGTGCTCAATGTCCTGAACTGTACACTAAACAAAAGTTAAGATGACAAGCTTTATGTTATGTATGTCTTACTATTGTAGATGGGTAAGTTAATTAGATTATCTTGTAGGCAGTTAGATAGGGAAGCCCTCAAGGTGCCAGCCCTCAAGAGCCGACAGTGAGGAGCCCATGGAGAACAATTAAGGCACATTCATTGGTTAGCATTATATCTCTACTTTCCCTAGAGACAGATAGCAGTGATTGATATTCTAAATGGGAAATTCCTTGTATTGACTTGTTTTCCCATTTGATCCCAGTACGTGGGTGACTGTACTTGTAATCTTATTGGTTGGTCATGGTTTTGCCCCACCTCATGCTCACCTTGTAATTTCCATTGGGTCTTATAGTTTAGTCCCACTTTGAATCCGCCCAACCTCATGGCTTTGCTCCATAAACCTGCCTGGGAAATAGGGTCCCAGGAAATCCATTTTCTGGTCCTCTTTCTGTCTCTCTTAGAAGCTTTCTTTCTTTCAATAAATTTTTTCTATTCTTAACCTCCACTGTTCCTAGAATTTATTCTTTGATTTTAGAGAACACAAACTCCCATTTTAGATAGCTAGTAGGTTTGGGAGGTACATCTATTCCCCTCCTATCATTACCACTGTAACAAACGAGTACTAGGACCAGATCTGGGAGCTGGCTCCATCTCACCATAGGGCACTGCCTGGCCTCTGCCTGGTTTTGTACAATCTCCCACCCCTGCCCTGGTAGCCAATGGGGTTCAGCTTCCTGGAGGCTCTGGAGGGGTGCAATCTGTATGTCACCTTGTACAGAGGCCCTCCCCTTTCCACCACAGAATTCTTCTGTTGGAAAGTCTGTCCCACTGGACCTCTGCCCCAATCATGATACCTCTGAGTGACCCAGGGACAAACTTCTGAGGGAGGAGAGGCAGGAGTCTCATATGCTCCATTTCTGCATCCTCACATATACGCAAACATTGCCTGATCCCTCTGTGTCACTGACTGTTTTCCAACAGTGACCTCGAAATTGCCAAAGGTCACCAGATGCAGTTCAATCCTCTGGCCCAGAAGCCTACCTTCCCTGTGGCTGCTCAGCATCTTTGCCAAGGCTGAGGTGCTGTCCTCAGGGACATTCTCTTTGTCCTGGGCCTGAAATGTCACCTTTCAGTCTGCTCAGCCAGCCTGAGCAGCAATCCCAGGCTTCTGCCACAGAAATTCTAAAGCCGTCAGCTAAATGCTGAACTCTTAAGTGCAGGAGTCCCTGAGTCTGCAGGGACATTGTGGCCTTGTGAGTGAGGCCAGGAAGCAGATGGAGGAGCAAATGTATCTGAAGTCACAGTACTATGTCTCACTGCAAGTTAGTTTCACCAGAGGGATATCACTGAGCAAACCTAAGTCTCATCTTAGCAGGGTAGACATACAGAGACATGTGGTTTCTGTAGACCTAGAGAATGTGACGTTGCTACAGGGCCATAGAGGAAGCCCGTGGAATATTGGATAGGTGGGTAATTAAGTACAAACATCCATGCCTCCAGACCCCAAGGATCCCACTTCCCACTCCCTGGAACCCTCACTGAGTAAATCACCTCTCTTCTGTAGAACAAAGTCATCATAATACAGTAAGTAGCTCTGGATCCCCCAACGGACCCTTACGGTCACAAAGGCAAGACACAGGGTTGTTCACTTGAGCTGTTAGGAGAGCCTAGAACCCTGCTAAGCTAGACACACAAATCTTCAGCCCACCCATGACATGTTCAGGGAGGGACAACAGAGCAAATCCACGCCATTGAGCTCACTCCCTATGGCTGTGGGGGCCGGGATGTGCAGAGCTTACCAGCCTCGCCGACAAAGACTTCCACGGGCACACTAGCGGGGCTCTCGCCGATGATGTTGTAGGCGGTCATGATCACTTCATAGCGCCTGTACTTCTTCAGATCTACAAGGGCAAAAGAGACTGGTCAGCCTGAGGTGGGACCTCCTTAGAAAGCTCCTTCCATGGGCCATCCTGGAGGAATCAGCACTCTGGGGGAGGCAGGAACAGTTAAATTGCTTTCCATAGTGGTCTGTGACATGTCTCCGGCCCTATTACAGTCACATCCCTCCTCCTTCTGGCTGACAATCAAGCACTTGCCGAACACTGCATGCCATGAAAGCCTTTGCAGAGCAGGGCTCCACTGCAACCAACCCTGGTCTGGATCTCCCTAAAGAATTCCAACAGTTACAGGAAGATCTTGGCATTTAAAAAATTACAAAGACTTAGGTCGACCAGTTTTTCATGAGCATGTGCTGGGAAGAAAAGCATGTATGTGGGAAGCCATGTTTGTAGAGTGACACAAGTAGGTGTAAGTGCTGGCCAAACACACTAAGAGACAGAAGGGAGCTGACCTTGAAGTCAAAGTGTCCTAGAAACTCTGACACTGGAATACTGCCATAAGGCTGGTGTGGCTTTGCTACCTCTGGATGAGCACAGGATCCCCACCAGGCCTCACATCTCTCCTCCCTCAGCAAGGGTACAGCTGAGGTCCTCCCACCCTAGGCTCAGAGGAACAAGCACAGTTCTGTGTCTGTGTGCTGAGTTGGGATCTGATACTCTGACTCTCAGCCTGGCAGGAGCAGAGACCAGCCCGCAGGAAGTGCTCCTGTACCTCTCTAGCCTGGCTAGCGGGTCCCAACCTAGGGACTCACATGGCTACTGAGTTCTGGGAGGAGAAAGCTGACAGCCTTGTGTGATCTCCAGGCTGGGGACCCTTCCTAGCCAGAACCAGGTGGGTCCAAGCTCTAACTTGCTCCTCTGCTGAGGGGTGTGTGGGAGGTGCTGGGCCCAGGTGGATACTTCACAAATACATGCCCAGGAGCAGTGAACATGGGAAAGAGTAATGGGGGTGAACAAAGGACCTGCTGGTCAGGTGACACTCTGCGAAGGAGTGTGGCACAGGGAGAAGACACATCTTGGGATGGATCCTGTCCTACTATCCAGGGCTGCGTTTGCTGCCCACAGGGGGTGGGTGGAATGGCATGGTGTGGACAAGGCCCTTGAAGGAATGTCAGAGGGGCTCTGAAAGGCCTGGCTCTGCTCCCCTAGCCTCCTGTCCACTCTGACCCAGCCATGTTCTTTGCATCAAAGAAAATCACATTATGGGATCACCATCAGGCCCATGCTGGATTTTTTTCAAGGTGCTGGGTCAAATCCAGAGCCTCAAGAATGCTAAGCAAATGCTCTACTACTGACTCACATTCCCAGCCCTAACATTTGAATCTTGAAACCCATCCTCAGCCAAAACCCAAGGGAAAGCTGCACAATTTAAGGTCAGAGGAAGGATGGCCAGCAAACCAAATGCAATGCATAGTCAATGGACTATTATTCAGCTTTAAGGAGGAAGGACATTCTGATCCCTGCTGTCAACAGGTGATGAACCACAAGGACTTGATTCTCAGGGAAATAAGCCAGGGTCAAGGAGATGGAAGAAAGGTCTGCCCACATGAGGTCCCTAGAGTTGCTGAACTCAGATAGGAACAGGGTGCTGGGAGCTGGGAATGGAGAGTTAGTGTTTAATGAAGACAGGGTTTCAGTTTGGGAAAATGGACAAATTCTGGAGGTGGATGGTGGTAAGTGGATCACTGTTACCCACTAAAAATAGTTAAGACAATAAATTTTATGCTCACAACTTAAAAGAAGAATAAAAAAGACAGGTCCAAGGGAGTAAGAGAGGAGATCTTGCCCAACCCAGCCCAGGAGAGTAGATGCCAGTACTGCAAACCCTCCAGCTTCCACTTCCAAAAGTTTCCTTTCCTGCTCCCTGATGATTTCAGCATGCTGAGAAGTGGTGATTAGGGCAGGAGGGGCTCCAGAAATTAACTCCATCAATCCAACCTGGTTTCCCTTGGTCCACTGAGAGCCTAATTGGCAAGGTCTGGTCACAGTGGCCTCCAGCTGGGGACCTGCACACTTACGTGTTAATTCATATGTTGTTAACCTGGAGCTGCTGTTCACGGTCTTGAAGCTGCTTTGGGCTATCAGGGGTAAGCAAAGCAGAAAGGTAGTTAGCACAAGGGAAGCAGTTACTGCAGCAGGGATGAGGGGGAGGTAACTGCAATGCTGCCCACACCCTTCCCAACAGCCCTGGGGTTACCAAAGTTCTTCCTATGACAGCAAGACATCAGTCCAAGACAGGCAGAGGTGGGCCACCCTCTGATGGATGGAATACATGTACAGTAACTGGCCTGCCATCCTGCCTGGCTACACTGGGGAAGACCTGGATATGATTTCTCCTGGGCACTGCCAGCAAGTAGAGCCGTCAGCTTGTTGATTCTCTTCTGGCAAGCCCTGCCCTAAGGTCACCCAAAATAGGCACCTGTGTGTGACCCGGTGCATGCATTCAGCTCCATGGTGGGCTGGGGGCTCTGTGATGCAGGGCTCAGGGTGATACCAATGGCTGGTCATCAGCAAGGGACACCTTCTGGGTGGGGCGAAGGTGAAAAACTGAGCCGCTTTTTCTTCATTAAGACAGTAGCACTGCTCCAGTCCCCATCAAGGTCGCCTGCATATGCAGTGCGCAAGACTCTGCAGCCATCTGGGCCTGGTGGCCAAGTACTAGGGAGCAGTCTCTTGGCACTGCCCAAGGGCACAGCCCTAGACCTACTCCTCGCCTGCATCTATGTAAAGGGCAAGCTGGGCTTTCTGTGCCCATGGGGATGGCTAGGAGATGAAAACCTTTACCCTCTTCTCAGAGAGGAGGAGGTGTGGGGTGGAGGTGGGGGTCCTGCCATTCCTGAGGCTGCCTTGGTGACAGCTGGACCAAAGGCAGAGCAAGCAGGCCAGACCCTGGGTAGGCCAGGGGTGGGAGATGCCAGGCTTCAGGCTGAGGACACATGTGATAACAGCAGTGCCACGATGGGGCTCACCTAGCCTCAGTCTCAGGCCTACACCATCCTCATGTGCCACAGTAGTGCTGCCCCAGGGCCTGATGCTTGTCCTCTCTTTGTCCTTGGCACTCAAGGTCCCACTGCGCCCCCCTCCCCAGCTGTGACCCACCAGCCTCAAATCTGCACTCTACTTGCCACCATTGAAAACCATGTGATCCCTGTCCCCAGCACGGGTCCCTGCTCCTCCCAGCTCCCATGACGCAAGGTCACTGGAAGCCTCCTGCCCAGTGTGGGGTGGTCTCAGGCAGGGGTGAAGGGCTCACCTGTGAGCTCAGCTCGCAGTGCAGAAGGGCTTTTGAGTGTCTTGGCCTCGGGGCTGGCACCTACTTCAGATTCTAGCTCCCGGTAGTAGATCCGGTATCCCTGAAGAAGCCCGTTCAGGCTCTCGTCCCTCGGAGGCTGCAAAGATATCACATGCTCAGCCTTGCCAAGGGTCACATCAGGGGTTTGGTAGCCTCTGCCTTAGTTTAACTGTGCAGTGGAGTGATCAGGTCAGGGTCTACAATTCCTGATTGGTAAAGCAATGAAGGAAAGGTGTGAGATTCGTGAGGAGCTCCTCCTCAGACTTAGGTTTCCTTGGCATGTGTGGGGACAAGAGGCATCTTCCCTCATATCTAGCTGGAGCTTCAAGATTGAGGAGGAGCCCCAAGGCAAGGAGGCTGCCAAGGTGGCATAGCCCTGGATTATAAGGGCACCTGGGATTATGGCCCAGGCCCTGTGGTTGGCCCCGCCCTGCCTACTCATCTTTGCCACCCATGCTGTGTCAGCTGCACTGGGCCCCTCACTGACCCCTCCACATGCCAGACCCAGGCTGGATCCCTCACAGCCCCCACATCTGCTAGCACAAGAAGGGTAGACAGAGCAAGGCACATTCCCACAGGGCAGGCAGAGAAATGGGCTCAGAACCTGCTGGGACAAGTGTGTGGGACCAAAGACCTCTTCCAATACATGGGAGCAAGTGGCTGCTCGCCATTCAAGATCCAGCAGGGCCATCTTCCTTCCCCGGTTGGTGTCTGTTAACAATTTAGAGGAGGACATTTAGCGTATCTGACAGATTTACCAGTAAAAGGAAAGCCTCCTTCCATGCAGGCTCCTGATGAAGCCCCAGTGGCCACAGCCCTGCTGGGTACTGGGGCTCTGATGGTCTGGTCTCTCCTTCTGGGAGGCTCAGATGAAGAATGAAGGGTGACAACTTTCTAAGCTGAGGCCAGGAAGATGGATGAGACTAGGTCACGAAACCTTGTTCAAGGACAGGAGGAATGCTGAATTCCCCATGTCTCCTACAGAGTGGCTGAGTATGAGAGGCCACCAGCCCCTGAGGACATTGTCCTGTGGCCTGAGCCAAGTCCACAACTTTGCTGCCAGAGACCCCCATTGCTGTGGCTGCATGGTGTTCAAGTCTAACTGCTAGTGCCTGTGAAGGGCCCTCATTAGGAGACAGGGTCTTTTGCAGATGGGAATGCAGTTGAGATGAGGTCAGTGTCCTGACAGGAGAATGTCACGCGGAGACTGAAACAGATCAGCAAGCCAAGGGACCCTGTGAAAGGCCAGGAAGGGGCCTTTCTCTGAGGGAGTGTGGACCTTCTGGCACCTTGATTTTGGACTTCTGGTCTCCAGAACTCTGAGAGAATAAAATTTCATCATTTTAAGCCCTCCAGCTTGTAGTTCTTTTGACAGCAGCCCCAGGAAACTGATCCCCCCTTACTGTGAGAAGGTCCACTCTAATCCCTACTCTCTAATCTGTCCAACCCAGGGACCAGAAGGATCTGGGTTTTCAGATAAACCTCTTCCTCTGAACTCCTGCTACTCATGATCTAAAACTCAAGCACTGAAGCATGCAGCATGCTTTGCCCTTGAAACTCAAGTGACTAGCTCAGAAAGCCAGGAATACATGTTTCTCTTTGTTGTCTTGTTTTGGTTTGTTTTTGCTGTATTAGGGATTAAACCCAGGGCCTTCACACTGAGTTATATTCCCAGGCCCTTTTTATTCATTTCTTAAATTTGTGACGGGTCTCACTAATTTGCTAAGTAGCCTAGGCTGGGACCTAGTAGCTAGTAGTGACTTAGTAGCTAGACTACGACCCTCCTGCCTCAGCCTTGGACAATGACATGGATTAACACCTTTAGCGACAATAATCATCCTTGACCAGAAGATCACAGAGTGCACCTGTCCCATCCAGGGCGTCTTTAGAAATGAAAGCTGCTACCACACTGCTGTAGCCTCTAGCTTGCCACACAGAAAGGCTAGCCACTCCCTGCCATTCTCTGCACGCCTCCTACCCAGGAATAGCCCCACAGCATGTAACACCCGGGCAGAGGTGGGAAAGTATGAATGGGCACTCGAATGGACTTGCCAGGTCTTACTGGCCCATATCAAAAGGGCCAGAAGATACACATCAGTGGATGATTTGGCCTGGATACAGCTCTGCCCTCTTGGCTGGGTGGCAGGGCCCAGTGTGGGTCCAGGACAGAGGGAGTTGTTATGTGAGAGGTCACATCTGGCTGCAAGACTTCAGTGTCTGGCTTGGCATTTTCCATGTGACTACTGGATGAAATCTTATAATGTGTGCCAGCTCCTCCAATCTCTGGCCTCTATCACACTTATAGTCAGGAAGGAGACAGCACCTGAATCCTGCGGGCAGTTTTCCCTCCCTCACTGAAAACAGCACTGAGTCTTGTGGATGATTTTTTATCCATAACATTTTTGTCCTCTGGCCCTGAGAGCCTCCCTGGCTTTCTTCTGGGACTGTAAAAGGCTTCTGGAGTTTTTACAGCAGGGACCATGTCTTAGTGCAGGTCCTGTGCTTAAGTTGAGGTTTGTTCTGGGCACGGTCTTTTGTGTTGGCTCAGAATAAATTACTCTCTTATCTCAGAATTGCTCATTGTTATTTTTTTACAACGTTACAATGTGGATGCTTAAGAATAATGGGCATTTCCTATGCTGTCTCAATTTTACCTCTACCCCAGTAGAAGTCTCAGGGAAATGCTGGCCTTGGCTCTTTTGCCAACAGTGGCTCAGAGATCCTAGTATGTCTTTCCCCGTGACTACAGGTCACTGCGCAGATGGGCCTGTGGTAAAATAGAGCAGGGATGAGGGTGGCAGAAAGGGAAGGCTTCCGCACAGCTGTAGTATGGGTGCAGCAAATACATGAAACCACCGGGGTCTGCATCTGGGGGAATCAGCTGTCACTTGGCTATCTCCGTAGGTCTATACAATCTTCTGTGCCATGATGCCCTGAGCAGCATGGCGTGAAGTGAGCAAGGACTGTGGGGCCTTCTGGAGCAGTGCTTACTGCCAAGGAAGATCTGAGACTAATTTACAGAGCAATGACTTCCAGCGGCCTTTGGAGGAGGAGGTGGCCACAGTGCTTGGTATGGACCCTTTAGGAGGATGCAAGGGCGGGGGGAGCCTCCCATGGCTGGGGCAGGTTTGGAAGGAGTAGCCAGGCTAAGGGTACAGGCCCCTGGCCTGTGTTGTTCCCCATGTGGACTCCCAGGATGATCTGAAGCTCAACTCAGGACAAAGTTCAGAACAGAGCTTCCCCCAAGTCACTAAAAAGCCACTTAGGGCCCAGTTGTTACCCGGGGCCATTGCTACTCCATCTTGTGGAAATGCATGGGTGAGGAGCCTTCTGCCAAATGACAGACAACAGAGCTTTCCTCCCAAGAGCTCCAGGACTTTGACCTTGACCAGAGAAGTAGATACACTCCATGGCTCCGACCTAAACTGACACGTGCTGGAAGCCTGATCTTGCAGTTCTGCCCAGAGTCCCTGGCACTGTCCTCACTCACAATGGTGGGAGGTGGGAATGGCAGGGCTCTGGCAGGGAAGATGAGAAGGCTCACGCTTCTGTTTCTGGGATCTGGGCTGACTGGAATTAGCAAGAAGGGAGAGGCAAGTGGGCAGATCAAATGCCTGCAGCTGGGTCTCTTTAAGTGCCAGCCTGGCAATCTCACTCGAAGGTCACCTTCAAAGCTTCCCTCAGAGTCCTGGATTATTCCCGCAGTAACTCAGGCACTCAGCCCCAATAGGAAGATGGCCAAAGCTCTGCTGCTGGCCCTACAGCACTCAGAGTTGGAAATGTGGTCCCAGCCAGGGCAATTTACCATGGGGCAGAGGTGGCCTGGGTTGGGATGTGATTCACCAAAAATATCAAATAAGCAGGAAGTGGAGAGGCTTAGAAAACAAAAACATCCTTCCTGGGGACTAAGTGTAGTTCTGCAGCTGGCAGCAGAGACACTGTTCCTAAGCCCTGAGGTGCACATCCTGGGACCCAGGGCCCCTGACCTAGACTCAAGAATATTTCTAGCTAAGGTGGATGGGATGCTCAGAGGCAGTAGTAGGAGAGGCCAATTTCCCCACTCATAGGAACAAAGATCACCAGGCTGAGGTCACATTTGCCAATGGGCTGACAGTGCCTGCACTGGAAGTCCCTGAGCATGCCAAGGGTCAAAATGCATCTCCCCTGCTAGCAGGAGTCTTCAAGGGAGGAGGCACAGCCCTGCTGTGGCTTAGATGACTGTCCCCAGAGGCCTGTGTGCTAGGGACTTGTCTTCAGGGTGGTCCCACAATGAGGTGGTGGGACCTTTGGGACTCGGGAGGCCCCAGGTTGCTGTAGGGGTGAAACTTGAAGGGGATTGTGGAATCCTGGCTGCTCCATGTCTTTTTCCTTCTGGCCAAAGTGTGCTTCTCCCTGTAGTTCTGGGCATTGCCATCTAGGATCCTGACTACAGACCCAAAGTAGTGAGTCTGCCCGATCACAGACCGGATGCTCCAGAACTGGAAGCTGAGTGAACTTTTCTCTTGTAAGTTGTTTATCTTGTGTGTCTGGTTACAGTAGCATAAAGCTGGCTGACCAAGGTGCAGAGAGGATGGCATCCTAGAGGCCACAACTGGCTCAAGCTGCATCTTCCTAGCTGAGCTTCACTAACCAAGGACTGTGACTACGGAGACAGTGGGACTAAAAGCATGGGATTCTGGATTGCGTATAACCCAGCTTTCCAACTGGAGTTTGGGTCATCCTGTATGACATCTTGTACTGCTCTGGAGCCCTCAGAGGTCATAGGAGGGCTTCCTGGGACATATGGGCTCAGGAAGGGCTGTGTGGAGTGGTCTCTGGATCTGATCTCTGGTTTTGTGATCACTGTGATCAGTTGAATCCCCAGGCTCATCCCTTGCCCATAACAGTTGGGAGTTGAACTGATGGTCTCCAAGTGTTACAAGTCTAAACAGAAGTCTCTTCGAACCCAGACTGGTTCTCCCAGCCCTCAGCTGACATTTCTGAACTGCCGAGTGTATTTCTCTCAGCACAGGAGATGGATGGGCTTGGATGAAACAGGTATTTCAGTCTGCTCTCTGGAGACTAAGATAACTCTGTGCTGTGTTCAGCCTGACTGGCCATGTGTGTAGGCAGATGCTTGGAGGGACTAGGAACCCTCCTAATGTCTTCTGCTGGCCACCTGTCAGACTGTGAGAGTCCTGAGTGGGTTTTCTCATTCCAAAAGTCCCCTGTGAAAATGCAGGTGACCTTGCAACACAGCAAGGAGACAGTGGTACACTGGAGAGGCCAGGAGGGATAGCCAGTTGAGTGGACGGAAGGGCTTAGGCTGGGAGGGAGCAGGATTCCCACCCTGATCTCCCTCCTGCCTGACAGAGATGGGCTGGGCCACACAGCTCAAGTGGAAAGAATCTCGGGCAGGCCCTGGCCAGGCCCATTCCACAGGTGAGGACCTGGGCTGACGGAGAGTAGGAGGCAGAGCTGGGACCAAGTCCAAATTGAATTGGAGTGCCACAGTCCCTGGTCATGACTTCTACTTCCTGGAGAGGGGAACACAGATTCCCTCCAGGGTTAAGCCTAGTGGTTAGAGGAACACTGGAGGTCCAATGTGCCTTCCCCTGAAACACAGCACCAAACTCCTGGCAACTTCTTGCCTCTACACCTTTGCCCAAGCTGTGCCTTCTTGCCCTGTTCCTGGGGAGGCCATCTGTCCCTTGAAGGGTACTTAGTTGTCCTTCTTGCCACAGTTAGTGGCTCCCTTCTGCCTTCCCACTGAGCTCTTCCAGTTCCTTTTCTGTCTCTTCTACTTCAGGAGCCCATATCTCTGCCCAGGAGATGGCCTTCTGCACACTGTGGTGCAAGTAGTGAGAAGAAACAATTCCAGGATCTGTTCTGAGGAAGGCCTGAAGTCCTGCTCCCTGCCCAGCAGCTGTCACACTCCCTGGGGAGGTGCCTATGGTAACAGTGAGTCCATCTTCCTCTGGCAGCTCCAAGCATGAGGTGATCTATTGCTTGGGTTTTTTTTTTTCTTTGCTAGAAAACAGTGCCCAGCTTCACTCAGAGGACTCTGAGCTGCCTAAGGGGACTGCTTTTGAGTGGCAGGCAGCACGGCCCCTGGGAGGTTTAGAAGAGCCTGCATCAATGTTGTGACCGACTCCGAGACCTCCGTCTGTTCCAATGGTGCTCAGCATGAACACAGCGCCCCTCCCACCTGGGATGCATGTTCAGATCCCAGGATTTCAAACAGAACAGGACCCCAAGGAGGCACAGATTGATTATCCCACCAAGAAGAATCAGACCGACAGGCTGCAGCAGAGGAGGCAGTTAAGTAAGTCTGCCACCTTGAAATTACAGCTGGTGTTTGCATTTCTCAACAAATTACTGAAAAAACAAAGGTTTTCAGGTGAAACATTTCATTGGGAATACAAATCTATATTTAAACCTAGTTTCATTTCCTTTGTTCTGTTGGCTCTAATTTAGCAAATTACTCATAATTTCAATTGTACCTCAATTGCCTGGCAGTTGACAGGCATTCGTTCCTACAATATATTGTATTGACCACCTCCTGCTCTGGGCTTTTTGCAATTAGTTTGTTCCATGGGTTTGAAGGGGACAGATGATGGACACACGTGCCAAGTTCCTCTGGCACAGCTCTGTGACGCTTCTCAGAGCTGTCCAGTAGCAGCGGAGGGGCTTGATGTGAGCTGTTGCAGGCAGGATGCTAGTGCTTACTGTGGTAGGCTCTGCGTTCCTGGTCACTGATCTGCAGGGATCGACCTGTTGTGGGCTGAGTGTTGGCTGCCTTTAAAAAAGAAGCTTATCTTGTGATCAGCAGACCAACAGTCATGTCTACAAAGAAAATGCTAATTTTTGAGTGGATCTTAACACAGTACAAAAGCCCGATATTCTTTCAGCTGATTACATTTCTGGAGCGTGGGAGACACAAGTGCTTGGGACCTTGAATTTCCATTTTGAATGTTTCTTACCTGCTGACACCACCCCTCATGGAACTGGGGCTGAGCGGGGACTGCAGGTGCAATGGACCTGGAATACCAGAGACCTTGGTTTTTGAGATTTTCTGTTTCCAGAGCAGGGATCTACAGTCACAGAGGCCTCTCATGATTACAGTGGCCCTGAGGAGATGGAGGCCAGGTCCTCTGTCACTTTGCCAGGGGCTTCCAGGCAGACAGGAGTGGATGGGCGCCTATCTTAAACCTTCCTGTTCCCATCTAATTCCATACCTTTAGTAAACCTAGAAGAGGCTGAACGGCAGTGAATTTTCAGGTTCACCAGGAAACCGTTGAAATATCTTTTTGTCACTTTGAAAGGTTTCTGTCCTCTCTAGAGAAGCTACTAGGCCACAGAAAGGAGGTGAAGAAGGGGCCACATGACTCCATGGATATTTAGAGGAGTTGACATGCGATTGGCAGAAACCTGGTTTACTGAAGTCAAACAAGTGACAGTAACAAATTTCACTGAATTGAACCCCAAAATGGCCACCTCTGTCCCTTGACTGTGGCATCATTTACTAGGATTCCATCTAGTGCTGACAACACCAAGTGACAACCTTGCCAGGGAAGCAGGTTAGGAGCCAGCAGTCACAAGCAGGACGATTTGGACACTTCTGTCACGAGCTTCCTCCAGCCTCCCTAGTCTCCTGCCCCGGGTCCCCTCCCCTCAGCTCCAATCCTGGCCCTGAGCTGCCAATGAGGTAGCATGCCCCTTTTCAGAGCTTGGGAAACACATATTTGGATAAGTCCCTTGATGGCCTTGTTGTCCTGTCCCTTTTCTGACTCTCCTCAGCCCCTGCTGAGCCACATGGTCACAACATTGTTTTCTCAGCTATCCAAGGCAGCATCCAGGCCACAGTACTGGCATGTTTCTCAGTGTCACTGGGGTGAGCTTCACCTCCGGACCTCCAGGGCACTGTTCTCTTTCCTGCCCACTCTGGAGTCAAGCTGGCTGCCATCCTCCATGGTGCTGACAACCTCAGAAAGAGTCACACTCATGCCCACACACTATCCCCACAGTCCCCAGCTCACAGTGGCCACGCCTAGGCCAGCCAAGCCTTGCCCAGTGCCCAACAGAACCCATCGCCCTGTGCGGTCCTATCCCACACCTGCTGCCTCTGGAACCCCCATTGCCCAGCATGACATTCTGGTATCAGGGGTGGCCCAGTGGTCTGCTGAACCTGCCTGGGCAAGCCCTGACCCTTGGGAGCTAAACCAGCCTCTGCCACCTCTGCTCCCAGACCCTGGAAATTACTTTTTCCTTCTGCTTGCCAGCTGACCAGGCTGTATCCCTGTTCCACTCACACATTTGGTGTCAGCATGGCCTGTGTCCACAACCAGCAAACCTGGCCGAAGGGGCCAGAGATTAAAAGCACATCTTATAAACTATCAGGGCCCCCAGCTCTTACCTGCCACTGGATCAGCACGGAGGAAGTGGTATGCGGTGTAGCAGAGACTGACCCTGGAGGCTCTCCTGGAACTGAAGCCCAGATGGGAGTTAGAATGGCCCAGGAGCCAGCCCCAGGGATGTGAGGAGTGACCAGTCCTGCCTCTCCTCTGCATGAGCAGCCTTCTTGCTTTTAAAAGAGCAAGGATCCTAATCTCAAAAAGGATGGCCACAAGCACTGTCCCCACCTTTGCTTTTCACTAAGACTTTGAGTCTGACCTCTCCCCCTGCCCAACCTAAGGGCCAGTCACTCCAGCGAGTCTCCTGGGAACTCCTTGTAGTTCCAGAACTTTGGGGAGTGGTGGACATACATACATCATTTTTTGAAGTCTTAGGTCAGAGCTGTTTCTCCTGAGCAGGAAAGACGGTCATGCCAGGCTGCAATGCTCTGGATTTGAATTCTAATGTGGCTGTGGGAAAAGGGAGCTGATTTTGGTGAGGCTGCCCAAGGCAAAGAACAGTATGTCATGGTCTAGGAACCCAGGCAGTTCTCCTCTGGCCTCTAGAGGGACAGGGTTGGTTTGACCTCTGCTCTGTTCAAAGCAAAATCTGTGTAATCCCATATATCAGGAGACCTTCTTTGATTCTTCCCGTGTCCCCCTCCAAATCAATGCAGTCCTCCCTTGGGCAATGAATTGATTTTTCTGTCTGCCTGGCTGTAAGGTCCTAGAAGAGGCCTGATATTCTATGTCCAATAAATACTCCCTGAGCCGACTTTGACTGAGGATGTCCCACACTCCCATGCGAGTGCCTCACCAAAATGCCTGGGTCACTATTCTGTGATTCACTCTAGACCTGTGATCCCCTACTCCCATCACTCCCACCCCCAGTCTACTACTCCTTTGAGCTTCCTGCGGGTCTGTCCTCAGGGGAGCCCTGGTCCAGCTCTCCCTGAGAGTCCCTCACGTTATATCTCAGTTACAGCACAGGGAAATAAAAGCCACCCCAATAAGAAACGGCTGAAAGGACCCTCCCCACCTAGCACAGGCCACTTAGTCTGTCACTCTTGGCTGACAGCCAGAGACAATGCAGCACAAATACAATGCAAATCCTCTAGCAAAGGGAAACTGCACCTCTCAGAAAAGGAAGATGATGAGATAGGAGCATCAAAAGCACTGATTTGAATATCAAAGGATTAAGAAAGGCCTCAGGAGGCTGGAGAGTCCCTTGAATAGATTTTCGGAAAGGCCCATTCCCCCAGATCATGGGAAGCTGTTCCATCTCATGCTCACATGGTTTATCAGAGATAACACAACAATAAAACCTGCTTGTTGTGTGTCTTTCTACTTTATTCTAAGAATTAGTGCACAGTTGCAAATGTTACCTCAATTGTGTAAAGTGTGAGATTAAAATGAAGGCATTTGCTGTTTGGGCTGGGACTAAGGTTGCAATGCCAACCTTCCTTTGTTGGGTGTGAGAAGTTGGCTTTAAGTGGCTTGAATGGAGGATGGGCATTTGGGCTATGTGTAGCCTCACCCTGGATGAAGTGGTTTGTCTCCCTTTTGATTTCCCCACTGGCCTGCTGTGAGCTCTCTGCAGTTGACCGGTTGACTGGGCTCTTGGCAGGGCTGCTGAGCCAGTGAACATGCCTGTCCCTCCCTGCTTCCATCCCTCTGGCTGCCCCTGGGCTCTAACAAACTCCCAGGATTATAGAGCCAGGAAATACTTTGGGCTTTCATTGAAGCTGGAGCCACCAAGTCATTTTTCAAGACAGGTCCAGCGTCTTGGGAGGACTTGGCCAGTCAGGGGCCTCCAAGAGCCTGGAAGACCCCTCATTCAGGGCACAAACCAGCAGATTCTGCCCACTGGGAGAACTGGGTCTGTGTCAGTCTCTGCCTGTAGCTGAGATGCTGAAAATGGCTCCCTCCACCTTTGGGCTGGTCTCTCAGGTTGTGTGAGGCCTTGTGTGGCAGCAGCTAAACTTACAGGTTCTAAAAAGAGCAGAACTGAAGATGTGAGGTCATGGGGCGAGCCAGCTGGAAGCTGGTCTATTTGAAAATTGTTCCACTGGTGCGTTAAATGGAAAAGACAGTGCTTTGGGGTTGGCTTAGGGAATTGTTATAAAGTACTGCTGGGTGAACAGAGTGCTCAGACTATGGGCCAGAGCTGTGTGCTGCAAAATATCCATCGTTCTTTGTCCCACGGGTGAGTTACACAGCCCGACATGTCTGATGGAACTGTCTCTCAGGCTAACTGGGGCCCAGTAGCACTAGGTCACAGGAAATTACAATGAATCTTCAGGCCCAGCGGCTCTGAGGTAGGATGGGATGTAAAATCCACCTGGTCCTTTGAGGGGCTCTGCCTTCCATCACTTTCCCGTGCTGTTCTCAAATGCAGCATCTCATGAATGAGAAAAATGGGGGAAGCCTCTCAAACCCAGCTACCCACTGACATTTATTTTTAATGACCCTATCAATTATTCAATTTTGGGGATGCTAATGGACAGAGGGGTTTTGGAAGACAATCAAAGAAAGTTCTATTCCATTTGGAAGGCCTTGATTTATGATTGTGGGGTGCATGGGAATACTCCAAGCTGTCTGTTACTAATGGGATTCTGCTGTTCGCCACCTCCCTGGCGACCCCTTTCTTGCTGGCTCAGGATGAAAACAGGACCCCCACAAGAGCAAGTCTTGGGCTTCAGGGCTGCTTGCTCACCATCCTGCAGCGTCGTGACTGCCTCAGTCTCTGAACTGAAGTCGCTGTCCCCAATGTCATTGGTGGCTTTCAGGCGCAGCTTGTAGGAGGTGAAGGGCCTCAACCTAAAGAGGAAAGAAGACACATGACTTTGGGGGACCTGGCATCCTGCCCTGCCCTCATGTTCCTATTGAAGTGTGGTAGTGGGACAGGGCATTCCTGGGTCTCATCAAATGTATGGCATATGCTTTTCCCTTCGCCCTCACTCTCGCAGACCATTTTATTATCCTCAAAAACCAGGTGCATTATTAAAGCCCGGATGCCCTCACCATAGCTTCTCCGCAAATAAACTAGATGAGAAAATCAAGTTGTTGGGGGTTACCAGAGAGTGACAAACTTCTGGGCCCTTAGCCTGTTACTCATTAAAAGCATTATTGATGTTTTCTTCTAAGGTTGTCAGGAACTTAACAGCTGCTTTTGCTAAAAAAGAGTTAATTTCACTTGGGCCAATGAGTACAAAGCAGGATAAAGCCTTACATCTCTGCCTTGATTTTGCATCTCTTTTATCACCTTGAAACTTGGAGTAGATCACTGCTCAGCTCTGCATGTAGGCAGGTTAATCATCTAAAGAAGGTCTTAGTCCTAAGTGTACCTAACCCGTTTCATCCTCCTTCAAGATTGAGGACATTGAGATAAGAGATTTGCAGGGACATTCGATTTCCAGACCCCCTGGAAAGGGTGCCTCAAGGTCTCCAGTCATTGTCTTATAAGCTGCTGTCACTTTGGACTCCAGCAGAGCCTTATCTGCCTCCCCCCACCAAGCAGGAGCAATCATCTTTTGGGAACCAGATTGCGCCTAAAGTGACAAGGATTTCTCCAGAGTCACCTTGTAGCATAAGAACTGAGGTAATGATCAACCAGCCCCTAGACCCCCGAGACACCCCATCAAAGCTGACCCCTTCCCTTTGTTAATGGGCCACTCTGATTTTCTCCATCAGTGCTGAGCACCCTGGTGAAGGAAGGGTTAAACAGGATGAGGGTGTTGGGGCTTCACAGCACTGGGCATGTGAACCTGTCATGTAGTGAATGTTCCAGAAAGGACTTGCGGTGCATTTAGCAGTGTGTGGTGCTGGATGATTTGGGGGCAGGGGCTGCACTGTATGAACACAGAACCTGAGCTTGGGCAGGAGACCTGAGTTCTGCCGGCTCACTTCACCCATCGTCGGGAGGCAGACCCTCTCAGCAGGATGCCACGGCAGCTCCCTGAAAACAGGTGGCCATGACTCAGAGGCCACACAAGTGAGCAGCACCTCACGGGCCAGATTAGGCATGTGACAATGGTGGCGGTACCCTCTGCTCCAGTCACCAACCTCCCTGGCTCTCAGCCAACTCAGTAGCATCCTGTAAACACTCCCCCTGGCCCCTCCATCCTCTGCAGCCCCCCCCCACTGCTATCTGACTTCCTGGTCCTGGCATCTCCAGCCCACCCCACTGTCCCCTGGCATATACTCTCCTATGGCAGAACAGGATTTCAGTGAACACCTAGTAAGCAACAAACAATTCCGGAACACTCACCTTCAACCCTTCCCTTTCCTCCAGATTCTGTTCTCACCCTGGCCTATGTTTCAGAGATGGCCAAGTAGAATTCTGATTCTGGCTCTGTCATTACTAACTAGGGCAAGGTTTAAAAAAACTTTTTTTTTTTTTTAACAGTACAGTACTGGAGATTGAACTCAGGGCCTTTATTTTCAGCTATAGTCCTAGCCTTTAAAATTTTTTTTATTTTGAGACAAGGCTTCACCTAAGTCACTAACTTGCCCAGGCTGGGTTCCATATAACTTGCAGACCTCCTGACTCAGCCTCCTAGAGTATGGGATTGTACCTACAGTGTGCCACCCTGTGTGGCCCATTTCATTCTATCAGTCTCACCGTATTCATCCATAAAAATGGAGATAATATAGTAGCACTCATATCTAACAGGGCTGTGGTGCAAATTAAATTTTACAGCCCAACCTCGTGGAGTCTAAGGGATTTTGTCATCCCAGAGGCAAATGCTAAATATTTCTCTCTCTGGTCTTTCCAAAGACTTTCCTTGACCCCGCCCCTGGTGTTCTTGCTTCCTCCTGGGAGGTTGTGTTGCGGGATGCAGCTCCCCTGCCCCGCCACTGCTCCTTTTACATTGTGCATGCCTTGCCTTCCAAATTCCAGCTCTTCAAACTCGGAAACTAGGTGGATTTAATATAGTTTTGCGAAGACATCCGCTACCTGACTCTTACTTCTAACCACTCACAACTCAGGAAATGAGCAGGCTGCATCGCATGGATGCTCACCATCTAAACTTGCTTCTTGTGCTCGCAAGTCGGGTGCCGGGCACACTGAGAAAGCAAGTGTGCCAATGCGTTGGCCTGGATTACCACTCAGTGTGGTGGTAGGGCATGCACATGAGTGTGTGATGGGCTCCGGATGGCAGTGTCCCTTCCTCAGAGAACCACACAGAGCCTTGTCAGTAAAGGGAGTGCCTGTATGACACATTCATTTTGGCGACAATGTATAAGCCTGAGACATTTTAAAAGCTATCTACCACCTCTTTTATTCATTTATCTTGAAGGCACTGAAATGATTCAGAGTTCATCATTTGTATCACCAAGAACAAAAGAATGTGGAAATCCATGTGTAATATTCTTGGCCAGCTTCACCTGATTTTTAAATGTCTGTGTTTTTAAATACTCCAGGGAAAAAGAAATATGGACTCTGACAGAGCAAGGGTTGCCAAGTCGGCTTTAGCCAGGTCCCTGTGTTTCACACGGTGCTCCCCTTCCAACCTCTCTGATATGATCCATCCATTGCACCTCACCAAAGATCAGGGGAAGAACAGACCCCATCAGATGCACAGCCATCCTAGGGCCCCCAGGGTCACTGTTCACCCCAAAGTCACAGTGACCCCCTCTTCCCTGCCATGTCTGTGGAAGGTTCCTAGTCTCACACTCTCAAAGCCTCAATAGGTTTCAACTCATGCTCCCCTTCTGGCCTGGGTCCTACGTTGGTAGACACAGCCACAGACCCTACATCTAGACAGCTACACACTCCATGCTTTTTGACCACTCACAGATGTCACCTGAGTGGTAAAGGTAAAACAGCTGCCAGGATTATGAAGCAGAAGAGAGATTGTACCACTGCAAGGCACAAAATGCTGCTTCCTCGCGTCTCTGCCTGTCCTACTGGCAAGCAGAGGAGGCATCTGTCCTCATTCTGGCCCATTAGGAAATTGACAGTGGCCTCCTTGCCACCAAATTAAACTGTCTGTCCTGAATCACCAAACTCTTCTTTACAACACTGAATCCCAAGTGCACGATTAGTCTCTGATCTCAGAAGGCTCTAGGATAAGTGGCTGGGTCTCTTTTCTTTCTTTCTGATGGTAACAAAAAGGAGTGAAGTCTGCTAATTCAGCTTGGCACCCAGTGCAGTCCAGCCAGGTTTACTAAGGGAAGTGGGGCCTGGCCACAGTCACCAGATTTCCAGGGCCCACCCAGGAGAATCCTGAGCCTCCAGGTGGGTGGTACCTGTAGCCAGGAGTGTTCCTCTCTGCAGGTCTGGGAACCACGCCTAGGCTCCATGTCTATTCCTCAAAGGGTCAGCAGGATGCTCATAGAAACCCAGGGGAAAGTCTGACTTTCTGCATGGTCCTGCCTTTTGCTGCCCACTTGCTGGAGTCATGGGATGAGGCCAGTCTGGGACTCGGGGTGGAAGGTACCCGAGACCCTTCCCACAGGCCCAGCTTTCACAATGAGGAGCGGAGGCTTGGCAGGCAATGGTGATAGGCTTTTCTGAGGCCTCATGGCTACTCGGGAAGACCTATGGCTGAGCTGTGAATGCCCGGCATTTTCCCTGCATCATGGCCCCTTGTAACTGCGCTGCCAGAAGTGGTTGGCATTTTTCAAGCCTCTGAAACAGGCTCAAGGAATGTCACAGCCATAGATTAGGGAACTGCGTCATCCATAAATTGATGCATGGTATATCCATTATGTAAGATATCTCTGTCTCAACCTTCTCATCTTTAAAATGGGAATGCTACAATTCTGGGCCACACTTCCACAGGGCCATTATGGATGCTGTGGAGCAACCTCTGGGAATGGTTTAGTAAGTAACAGAAAGTTCTTCTACAGTGGCCCTTTGTTTGCGGTTTTGCTTTGCTTAGTGTCAGAAGTATCCAGTTACATTTACCTGTGAGGTGGCTATGAAAAGGGACACCTCTCCTCATTGGCATGTGCTGGTGAATGAAGGCTCTGCTCTGCAGGGCCAGCTTGGTAACAGGGGCTTAGAACAGGCGTACAAGAAACCAAGTGCTTCCTGGGTGGGACCAGGGGCTGAGACCTTCGCTGGGATTGAAAAAGCCTGCATGGGGTTGGGCCATTCTCCTCTCCTAGCCTACTAAGTTTGCTCCACTTTGAAGGGGCTATGACAAGGCTGTGCAGAGCCACGAGCCCATGCATTCCGAGCCCCTCAGTGCTGTGCTGCTGCTAAGCTGGTGAATACATGACTAAATGGAGTATGTGTGTGTGTGAGTGTTTGTTGAAGGCGGATGATTCTGGCCTTGTGCCCCGGGCTCTCCCAGCCCCTCATCAGCCATCACTAGTCAAGGTTAGTAGTTGGGCAGGATGTGCTTCTCCCCACTGCTTTGGAAGAGAATACAAACAGGGCTCCTCACCAGCCTTTCCCATCCCCACCCCTCCCTCTCTGCTCTCCCCACCCCTGACAATGCATCAGAAATGACTGGGACACGTGAGCCCACACGACCAGGGTTGGCCCCTCATCTACACCTTGCCAGTCTCGGGGCCTGTGTGTGCAAACAAGCTGTGTAGTGCATGCCTGCAAGGCTAGCAGGGAGGGGCTGGGGTTCCTGGCATGCAGAGTGCTGCTAGGGATGGGGGTAGTTTGCTGGGTATCTCTGAGGGACTCCTGCTGCTGTGTGGCACAGCCTGGTCCCTCAATACCTCTCCACGGCGCAGGCTGTGGCCTCGTGGCTGATGGATGAGGAGTAGGTCTGCCACTCGCCCCCAGGCAGCTCTCGGACCTGCACGGTGAAGTACCGGATTGGGGAGGCTCCGTCACTGCCTGGGACCCACTGGAGCTGGAGGCTGCGTGCAGTCACTTCCACCTGGGGCACCTGGAGCTCTCTGGGGGGTGCCGGCCGCTCTACAACCAAAGAGGACAGACAGAGGGGTGGGTGTAAGAGAGGCTGCTTTCTATGTGTCCAGATGCCCCCTGTGAGTGCAGGCTGTACGGGGGTCAGACACTGAAAAGTGGTCTTGGTTCACAGTGGGGAGCTGCCTCCCAACGAACTTCGGCTGGGCTGGCTTAGACCTTTCCGGGGATCTTGCAGGCTCCTGCAGCAGAGCCAGAAGGTGGACAGATGTGATCCCACATAGGCCCCACCTCCCCTGTCATGTACTAGGGTCTGAATGACAGCTGGCATCACAGGGCTCAGGACTCTTCCCAGCACCTGCACCTCCTTTTCACTCTCTGACCCAGGCTCTCCCCACCATTCACACTGAATCCCCCCCACCCCTTGCATCCAGCCCGAGCTTACAACCTAAGAAGCCTTTATAACGCCGCTCTTCTGAGGGTGTCATGGATGTGGGGCTGTCCTGTCTATGGCACTGAGACGGGGGTGCAAGATTCCCAGGACTGGCCCTGGTCTCAAGTGAGTATCACTGGCCTGTCACTGTGCTCCTGCACCCCATTGATTTCAATAGAGAAACTCCACAGAGGGGGGAATAATTGTTTAATTGTTTATCATGAAGGTTATTGATTCTGATTAAAATGTGTGGGGTGTAATAAAGCGGCAATTGATTGTGGGCCCTGCAGTGACGGTCTATGAGAAGCACTTCGATCTACCCTAATCAGCAGTCTTTCCCCAGGCGTGTACTGTGCCACCTGATTTCTCCCGGAGCCTCTCCCGGGCTCCCAGGGCTCCAGCTGGACACACTGCTGTCCGCAGGCTCTCAGCTCCCTGCCCTGAGCCACAGAGAGGGACCCTGGGCCTGCTGGGGCATCTGAACTCCTGAAGATCCATGTCTGAAGAAGCAAATGGCCTGGAGGGGATGGGACACAGGCTGGGGGGCTGTGTCCTCAAAGCAGGACAGTATGGGCAGCTATGCTGTTCCACCCACAATGGAGTTCGTAGGAGTATTTCCACTTGCGTCTAACTCAGATCAAATCTTTCATGACCCAGAAGGCCTCGGGGATGCACAGCCTCACCTTCATCCCAGTGGCCACGCAGTATCTTTGTGGGGCTCAGCCTAGAAAGCATTGGCTTCCCTACTGGCAAAATCACAGAGCACCTCTGTGAGAGCCAGAAAAGGATGTGGAGGTGGCCATGTCCAACAAGGCAACCAGGATGCCCCAACCAGGCGGGGCTCAGTGTCAGTCTCCTTCCCTTCTAGACTGAAGGCCACAGCTACTTTTCAGTGCTCTGAGGTCAACTCCTCACTCCTAAAACTGCATTCTAGATCTCATAATAAAAATCGTCACTCTGGGAGGCTGAGATGGGGGGATCTCAAGTTCAAGCCCAGCCTGGGCAACTTAATGAAACCCTGTCTCACAAGATAAAAAGGGCTGCGGATGTGGCACAATACAAAGAGGCCTTGGGTGTAATCTCAGTACCACCAAAAAAATTTTTTTAAAAACAGTTATAAAGATGGCAATAATAGTAGTTCACATTTATTGAGCTCTTATATAATTCCTGCCTTGCTTCCAGGAAGTCCTGATGCCAACATAGTTACTCAGGTGTCTTGGGCCCTATGATGATTGCTGCACACAAGATTTCAGGTTGGAGCCATGGCACAGAGCAGGGATTGCTGCCCAAGGCTACACAGCTCCAAGTGCCGTTTCCCATTAGCCCTATGGGATCCATGTCTGGCCTCCTCTGGCCTGCCCTTGATGTCACCATGCACAGTTTTGACTGTTGGGCAGGTTCTAAAGTGAGGCCTGAGGCTATAGGCAGACACTGGAGGGTGGAGCTGGCCTTCTGGTTATGAGGGCGGGTCTGAACCTCGGCTTCACAGCTGTGGGAACTGGCATATGGGTAAGTCTGTCTGGCTTCTGCTCCTATGAGATTGGTGGGAACACCCTGCACCCCCATGGTGAGGCAGGACCAAGACACAGCACCCCAGGCACCTGGACCCAGATGCAGTCATAGGAGGGTGGCTAAATAGAAGACATCTCCTGGGCACCTGCTGCCTGGGCACATGATTTTGAACATCAGAGAACAGGTACGTGTGTTTGGGAAGCTTATACTCATATGACAGTGCAATGCTGGCACAGTTAAACAACCTCCTGAGCTACACTCCTCATCTTTAAGCCTGGGTAATCTTACCTGTCTGAAAGAGCAGGAAATTGGCTAAGTATAGACACCACATGATAACGTGGTCAGCTCAGTGTCTGGTTCAGTGGGCTTCTTCTGTGTCTCTGAAGGAAGTCACAAGCCTCCCAGCCCCAGAGGGCCCAACATGGTAGCCGCACATCCTGTGTCCACCCCACCTCACCCTGCCTGCTGTCTCTGACATTCAGTTTGGCCTGGAGGGCTTACCTCTCTTCTCAGTGGTGATGACCGTGGCCTCCAGCGGCTCCCCCCAGCCCTGCCTGGTTTTGGCGGAGAGCCTGAAGATGTATGCAGACTCTGGGGCCAGATCGGTGGCTGTGAACTGTCGCACAGTGGCGCCGACCTCCACAGTGGTGAAAGTGTGGGGGCGACTGCTGGCCAGGCGGTAGGCAATCTGGTACCCTGCGGGTGAGGCCGGGCAGGAGAGACAGGGAATCTGCTCAGTGGTCCTGGGGTGAGGCCTGCCTCTCACCCCACAGTGATTGCTGGATCAGAAACCCAAGAATGGCAGCTGGTGGTACACACTTAGGGGTGAGGGGCCCCTAAGCATAACCCCCAGGAAACTGGTTTCACTCTTCGTCCTTCATGTCGACAAGACGTGAAAACAGTTCCACCTTTCCCAAGGACCCGGTGCTGGGAGATGCTACCAGAGTCTCTGTCATTGCTCCTGCTGCAAGATTGTGGCACGCCTTGGCCATGGCTGTTCTGTTCCCTTGTCCCTGCCCATGAGGTGATGGTGTCCTTCTCTTTCTCTGGGAAGAAGCAGGCAGTGCCAGCCCTGACCAAGTCCTTTAACATTTGCCAACCTCAGCACAGCCTGTTGGGCATAACAGCCATGAGTGTGACATCCTTTTTTCCTGTTTTCCCACTGCCCATGATCCCCTGTACCTCCCTACCCCACCACAGCCCTTCCAGTTCAGAGAGGCTCCACTTTAATGAAGCCCCCGGCCCAGTGCTTTTTAACCCACTTTTTAATCCGCTGCAGGAGGGATGGGCCTACTCTTTGCGTTTCTCAAAGTTCCTTGACTATTAAGGGTTCACAGTTGATCAGACATTATTAATGATCAAACCCCTCCAACTGGGCAGCTCTGAGACCTACCCATGGGCATCTGAAGAGGCCTTGCCAGCTCTCAGACCCAGCCCAGGATGCTCACACCAGGCCTGGCCTTCTTTGGGCTCACAGACAGTGTGTGGTCCTGCTGCTGGGCTCCCACACTGATTAAAACCAGAGTGGACAGGGTATTGTGGCATCAGAAAAATTAATGACAGCCCAACTGTTCAATTTAAACAAGAGGGATGCAGAGGGGGAAGTCAAGCGAGCAGAGCTGATCAGGCCTTGCCAGCAATGCCATTGTAGGCAGCCCTTGTGTGGGCAGCCACCTGCAGGGACCAAGTGCTTCCTGGCACACCAGCAGGTTGGTTCATGCACCAGCCCGGGTCTCTACTCTGGGGGAGGCACCTCTGCTCTCTGTTCCTTCTCCTCGCACTGGTGCTTGGCCTGGGGTGACCAGGCTGCCTGGCATCCCGTCAGTTCCAGGGCTGCTGTGTCTCTGACTGTGTAAAGAGCCTCTCCCGCTGCCATGTGGAGGCTGGAAGGACAATCACACAGAGGTCACACTCAGAGTGTGCCCTGATAGCCCCAGTCCAGAGGTCACAGTCAGCGTCACTCATCATCAAACAGCTTGGGGCATGGCATGCCCATCACAATGCCACCTGGATGCCCATGTGAGTTACCATCTCAGCCACTGCTCAGCCTCAGATACGTGGGACCCAGGGTCTTGGGAGCTTCCTTGAGGTGGCCCAGCTGTGCTCAGGCTTCTGGCAAGGGCGTCAAGCTCTGAGCCTGGCCCCACCCACTCCCACAGAAGCCTAGAAATGGCCGGCCAGCCTTTCTCCCGGGCTGCTCTCCCTCTTCCTGTCCCTAGCTCAGTGATGTGCATGGGAGTCTGCGGCTCGCTGCCCCATGGAACCCAGGCTTGAGCCTTCGGAGATGCCTGGACACAAGGAAGACACTGAAGCAGCAGCAAGTGCAACAGCTGAGCATCCTGAGTGCTATAGAACAGGGAGGACCCTGCTGGTCCTTTCTGCAGTCACAGGAGCCCAGTAGCAAGTGCAGGAGGAGGTGATAATGGGAGACCCAGGCCTCTCTCTCTCTCTGGAGGAAGAACAACTCATACCCATCATTTGGACAGTCCCTTATGCTCCACAGTGCCCTTGATGAGCAGATTTCCCAAGAGAAACAGTGATACTTCTAGAGGGAGGGATGTGAGTTCTACACAGCAGCATATTTGGATCTGATGTGATTCCAAAACAGTTAGAAGAACCAGGGCTCACAGTCCTGCAGATGGCAGGTGCCGTTTTCCAACTGCCCCTTTACCATGGTATTCTGGTGGCCTCTTTGTCAAGCCCCAAGTGACATTTTCATGCAGCTTCCACAGAGTTTTACTCTGAGGCTCGTCCTCTTCCCAGACACTGAGGCTGTGACAGTTCCACAAAAGCCTTAAGCAACCTCAGGACGGGTGGGCAACCCTGCCAGGGGTGGCAAAGGACAGAGGCAGACACACTCAAGTTCTCAACCTGGCCCCTGAGGAGTGGGGCACATGCTTAACTTCTGTCACTCGACTGTCTAACAGGAGCAAGTCCCCACCTCATGAGGTATTAAGGGCAACAGTCCCTTAAGTGGCAATTCCTCAGGAAGTATACACTTTCCAACAATTTCCTGCTTCCTTGGGGCCAGGAGAACTACTGAATTCTATTTCTATCTGATTTCAGTTCGATGTTTTTAACTGGAGCAGCAGCTCTGGACATGGAATTAGTATTCAATCTGGGAAAACTCTAGACTTAAACTCCCTTTTAAAAAAGGCATTAAAGTGTTGTAGTAAAGTGTTTTATTATGAGTTTTGAATTACATTTCATTCATAAGGCTCAAAATTAGTGCAGAGCAAACAGTGCAAAGTGTGCCTCTCCATATTTGATCTCATACCTCCCAAGGCACCTCTCCTAAGTAGGCACCACTGCTGGTTTCCTGGGCAGCTTTCTGGGGATAATCTGAGAACACAGAACCAGAGTGCTTAGGAAGACATTTTTCTGTTCTTTCTTTCTTTTTTCCCTCTGGTACATTGTCTCACTATGTAATTCAGGTTAGCCTTAAGTCTGCAATCCTCCTGCCTCAGCCTCCTGAGGACTGGGTCAGAGATGTGCCCCACTGCACCAGGTGATGCCATCATTCCTTTGTGCACTCTGCAGCAGACCAGGCATCCTACCCTGTGTGTTGCTTTTCTCCCTAGCAGCTCTGCTTAGCATGTGCTTGGCTGGTTCTGGGTTTTCCCTTCTGATCTTTTGGAAGGTTCATCATCTGACCTTGGTTCTTCTAGCTCTTGACTTCCTCTGACAGCATTTCATGGTGCCTTGCTGTAAGTGACGATGAACTCAGCACTGTCTCCTTCCCATCCCTGCCTGCTGTCATTTCTGTCCTCCAATTTTGGTGCATATATTACTGTTTTTTGCCTCCTAGCATTTGCCCTTGTATATTTAAACACACTTGTCTCTCTATTCTGTTTTTCACTCTGAACTCTGTCCTCTAAGACTCACCAGCTACTGTGAGAGATGGAAACTGGGTTCTTGGGTCACCCCAACCTTCTCAATATGCCTGCCCCTGGCTTTCACCAGCTACCTGACTGTGTCATGATGACTTGAGGGCCCCACTGTGCTCAGCAGTCAGGGATGCAGGTAGAGCCACTTCTGCTCCGCAGAGGTTAGAGTGGCTCCCTGCAGAGATCTAGGCCAGCGAAACAGGCACACTGTCCACATGGGATCATCATATCTACACACAGCCAGGGAACGGCCCAACTTCCACCTGACCATCTGGGCACAGTCACTCCGTAACCAGCACAAAAGCAACCGGCCATGGCCCAAAGCCATCCTCACATGCATATTTTGAAACCAAAGACACTAAATAAAGACTTTCTGTAAAGACCGATCACATGTTCTAACCAAGCCCAGAGACTGTACTTGGCAGACATAAACATGCCTGAGAAGGTTGTGATCAAATGCAGTGTTTGAAAACACATCAAGAATGCTGGGCCAAGCAGTACCAGTGAATTCAGGCACTTGAACACCATTCCTGGGGACCAGGACACATGGGCCTCCCCAGAGAAGTGCAAATTAAGTGCATTAAATACAGAGGCTGCCTGGGGCAGGGGTCTATACCCTGTTTGGTACACAACGCAGGTCCAGGGAGGATCACATTGCTGGTTCTGCACACATAGTAGATTTCTTCCTCACAGAATGAGAAAGCACATGTCTATCTTAGACAGCAGGGAAGTGGAACTGACCCAACAATGCCTGGCCTGCCCTTGGCAGCTATCCTGAAGGGCACTAGGTACCCCATGCCCATGCCCATTAACACGCTCTCCCATAGGCACGAGCCAGACTGCCTTAGCTCCTGATTTGCTATTTTACATTTTGCAGAGTGGTGTGGGATTGAGACTGCTCAATAACATTCCAAACTGCCTTTCAATGTGGAAGTCTGAATTACTGAGACATTATTTACTTCCAGGATCTAGATATGATCACAGATGTATTTTAATCTGTATTATTTTACTCTGCTCAGATTATTCTCTTGCTAGAGATACTAATCTAGTGATGAACTGAAGATTTTACTCAATAGCACGTCTCTGTGAACTACAAAATTTAGGGACCGAGAGGGAAACTAGTCCCTCTTCACTGTACCAGATCTTCTTTTCTATACCTCACCATTCTCCTGTTCTCCCCAGTATGACCCTCAGCTTTAGCTCCACCCCTTCCCTCCCTCAGGCTTATGTAACCTCACCTGCTCTGGGTGACATACTGCTACATGTTATGTGTTGCATGTGATCCTGTATTTCTCTCAGAAGTCCCTGGCTGTACCAGAAGGAGGCAGAGACCTTGTCTGTGCTCTCTTCGGGCAAGTCCAACCCCACGGGATTGCAGTGTCTCCATGCCTGCTGTTAATAAGGAGAGGCATCAGCCACCGCTGAAAAGGGGCTTCTAGGTCTCTAGGTTCTGGCACTTTCCATCAGTATCCACAAGCAGAAGTCAGCACCTGCCTCCTATATGTGAGGAAGGTGGGGCTGAGCATCACCATGAACACTGGGTCAGAGCCTGTCTTCCCCAGGATGCCTTGCTGCCACACTTAGCTCCTTCCCGCTCTTAGATGACTTAGAGAAAGTCACTCAGCAGATTTTGAAGGTGGTTGTGAGAAAGTGGGAGAAAGGGCAGAGATAGGGAGTCCCTACTGCGGTGATAGGCTTGATGCTAGCAAAGTGGGAAAGCAGAATGTCTAGCTTGTGGAAGTTCTCACTGGGGAACACAAACTGGCCAGCAAGTGGCCAAAGAAGCCAGGCCACCTGGAGAACCTTTCA